AGAATTCACAAGTTTGGCACTTCCTCGATTTTAATAAACCGCCTTGAGTTTACCAAAAAGTCAGAACATCTTTGCCATTTTTAACCACAAAATCTCTGATTTACATATCACATGACTATAAAGAGCTGCCTTAGCATGGACTGAGTTGTTTGTGACATGAAGACTAAACATATGGTATATCATATTTCCTTTTACTTTGCAGACATTTTTTTGTTCCTCTAATACCAAGCATTCCTGGTCTTAAATCTTTTCCTGGTCTACTGATGCACAGCCATGATTACCGCAATCCTGATGTCTTTGAAGGAAAGCATGTGGTCATTCTTGGTGCTGGTGCATCGGGTCAAGACATTTGCCTTGAAGTTGCAACGAAGGCAGAGATAGTGTTCCTTAGCCATAAAGGCAATGTTTCTTGTGAGCTTCCAGACAACGTAAAGCAACAAAGACCAATATCACTTGTATCCACAGATGGGACAGTTCATTTTGATGATGGACAGCAGAGAAAAGTTGATGCCATCTTACTCTGTACAGGTTATGAGTTCTCTTTTCCATTCCTCAGTGATGCTTGTAATATTGAGGTGTGTGATAACAGAGTAACTCATCTTTACAAACATATTTTTAACACAAGATACCCCACACTCTCATTCATTGGGCTCTGCCTCAAAATGTGTCCATTTCCACTGTTCAGCCTGCAAGCTCAGTACATTGCAGCAGTTTTGAGTGGAAAGAAGAAATTACCATCTGAAAAGGATATGAATGATGACGAAGAGAAAGATTTCCAAGAAAAACTCTGCTCTGGGTTGGACAAGAAATATGCTCACATGTTAGGTGACAGACAGAAGGAATACTACAGGACTATTGCGCAGTTAGCAGGAGCACAGCCACTGAGTGAAGTTTATGGGGATCTTTTTGAACATTTGTCTTACAGAAGGAAAAATTTCCTTATGGAATATAAGAATGATGAGTACAAGATAACTTCTGATGGGGCATGGGCAAGAATTGAAAAAGTTAAAAATTGATGCACAGGATCCTCAGTCAATTTAATTGATTAATATAATACACCAAAATTAAGATAAGACAACAACTTTATTTTCTGAGGGTAACACTTAAGGTTACTTCAAACCTTCGCGATACTACATTGGTCGATATTTTTTTGGTCAAGAAATTTAAGTCCACGAAGCTCAAGTTTGCATACTCTGAACGCTAGGGGTTCTGTTATTTCATTGGCTTGCGGCTTTTCAAGTTGACACATTCCTCTGTGAAGGTGTGACATGTTTATAAATCTTTAGAAGGCAAAAACTCGCACTCGTTTTTCGAGAGAATCCCTTCTCTTTAAATGAA